AGTCTGAGAAGTTACATACTGTGAGGTGCGGTGGTCTGGAGGAGTTACACACTGTGAGGTGCGGTGATCTAAATGAAAATGCCCCATATGCTCATAGGGAGTGGCACTATTAGGAGCTGTGGCCTTGTTGGAGGAATTGTGTCACTGGGGGTGGGTTTTGAGGTTTCAGATGCTCAAGCCAGGCTCAGTGCCTCACCCTTTCTTCCTGCTGCCTTGAAATCCATATGTCGAACTGTCAGCTGCCTCTTCAGCACCATGTCTAACTGCATGCCATCATGCTCCCAACCATGATGAACTGTAACTAAGCCTATTTAAATGTTTTCCTTTATTAAAGTTTCCCTAGTCAAGGTGGCTTTTCATAGCAATAGAAACCCTAGACACTAGGCCAATGTCTCCTTTGTTCTGTAGCCTTACTAACCCTTGGTCTCCCAAGCTAATGCTAATTTTGTGAGCTCGCAATGTTCTCAATTAAAAAAAATAATAATGTGTAACATTCACAATATGATTATATTACTTAAAGCCAAAAGCCATCCCTGATTTATAGTGGTCCAATAAAATTAGAGCTCTGATTTATGCATGCCCAAGTGTTCTCTTAAAGAAATAAAGCTGTTCTCTTTGCCTGTTTGGGTCTCAGCTTCTACATTTGTACAAGAACAGCTGAGAAGTATGCACTGTATGATGGTTCTGGAATAAAGAGATTTTCAAAATCGAAAGCATGTTGACCTACTCAAGTTTCTAGGAATTTCTCTAGAAAGGGTTTATCTTTTAACTCAAAGTTTTTCAAGCTTTATCATAGAATCCTGATTCAAAAAATATTAGCAGATCATAGCATCAGTCAGCCATCATCTGCCTTTGTAAGAAATACTGGTTCCATTCTATGCATTCATTTTGTTTATTATACCTTACAGACTTTGTTTCTAAGTATTGATGAAAACTTTGAGAACTCTTTATTAAGCCATTATCAAGGGGCTTCAGTTTTCATGAGCATATAAAACCATTCTAAGAACTTACTTGGGCAGTTGCTGGGCTGTATACAAGACCTACTAATTCAAAGTCTCCTGGAACAAAGAAAGAATCAGAGTTTGTCAATACTCAGTGATGATTATGTGCCAGTCAGTCTCCAGTCCACCAAATAGTCTAGAGAGTAGTACTTTCCAGTGGTTTATGTGCTTCATGAGAAGAAGCAGCTAGACATTGTCATCATGACAAGGTCCAATTTTCAGGTCACTTTTCATCTCTTATGAGCTATAGATGAGGGAAGCTTAGAGACAGTTTGTGACCACGTACTGAAAAGCTTCCAAGTAGCTCTAACTCAGCTTCCAAAGACATAATTTTGAAGTGTTAATATGGCTATGGATACAAGTAAGAGGTCAATCATTTGCGTAAAATCAGTTTTGAGTTTGCATCCTCAATAAAAGCCTCTCAGGTGTGCCTGTTACTCCTACTGCCCACGTAGGTTATTCTTTCTCACCATAAACTGCATAGACAAGAAACTAAGGATAAAGGAGTAGGGTAGAAGCTTACGTCATCTAATTTTATGACTTATTAACTAATGATTCAAAGGTTGGAATGAATAGTTAGAATGTTATTTTAGACTCTCTGAATTACATTTGCTCTCATTACCACAAGGGATGAAAAAATAGCTGTCAGAAATTTCAAAGTGAGACTGAGGGACATGATAGAAAACAGGGATTAGTAATCGTTTTCAACATTTTTCTCTGTTAAAATTTTTCAGGTAACACAATGGAGATAATACTCTATTTCTTTATAATATCAAGTCCATTTTTTTATAAGAGATTGTAAATTGCATGGCCAGTGTGACATTTATTGAATACAAGTAAACTTTGCTCCTAAGTCACTTGTTAACTTTATTAGAAGAAAACCAAAGATGAGCTGCAGAATTTCAGGAATAGCTAATTATAACTTCATAACCAAAAAATGTTCAGATAATGCCCTCACAAATAACCTGCAGGCTCACAGTCTAATGTCTAGCATATTATCTTAGTCTACTTTGGCAACCAGACTTACAGCCTCTTCCCAGCTGGGAAGTGGAGGCAAGAAATGCTGTGCTTATATTCAGCAACTCTGGAAAAACTGTCATTGTGGAGTTTTGGGTGTATAACGGTGGTGCCTGTGTAATGAATATACTTGTGTGGCTGTTGTGAATTGACAGCTTGACACAACCTAGATTCAACTGAAATGGGAGTCATAATGAGGAGTTGTCTAGATTGGGCGCGCCTATGGCTGTCCCTATGAGGAATTTTCTTAATAGTTCATTGATGTGGGAAAACTCACCCTGGATGTGGGCAGCACCAGATCACATGCTATCCTGGGCTGAATGAAAACAGGGTGCACTGAGTACTTAAACCTGTCTTGGATTGCTTCAAGGGTCTGCCATCTTGAGTCCTCTTGAAATAAAGGACTGTCACCTGGAATTGAGAGCTTAAGAGACACTTTCTTAAGTGGATTTGTGAGAATATTTTTATCACAGCTACAGAAAAGAGTTGAGATAACTTGTTAGTGTGGGTGCATGTACATGTATTTTGGCATATGTGTGCATATGTGTGTGCATGCCTGCGGACAGTGGATGGAGGTTGACATTGGATGTAACTTGTTAGTGTGGGTGCATGTACATGTATTTTGGCATATGTGTGCATATGTGTGCATATGTGTGTGCTTGCCTGCGGATAGTGGGTGGAGGTTGATATTGGATGCTTTTCTTAATTTCTCACGATCTTTAAAAAAGAAAGAAAGAGAAAGAAAGGAAGAAAGGAAGGAAGGAAGGAAGGAAGAAAGAAAGAAAGAAAGAAAGAAAGAAAGAAAACCAAGTTCTCTCATTGAACCTGGAGTTTACTGATTCAGCTAAAACGAATGGCCAATGAACTCTGGGGATCTGACTGCCGGCCCCTACTGAGGCTGCAGCGGGAAGGGCTCCATGCCAAGCTTTTTATGTGAGTTCTGGGGATCCAAACTCAGGACCTCATATTGTGTGACATGGATTTTACCTATTGTACATTCTACCCCAAACCCTGGCATTTATGTCCATGGATTTTACAGGCCAAAATGGTTTTCTTTTGAATGACTTTCAAGCTTTCCCAAACAGATGTTTCATTGTTTTCATTTTTCCACACAGTTAGTTTGAGTTCATATGTAAAGTAAATCAACACCTAGCAAGATGAAGCTTAAATTCCCTCTTATTGTATAAGCTTCTGGCACATAACTGCTGTTACTGATTCAGTATCATCAGTTAGATATAAAAGCATGTGAGTGAAACTTTAATCTATCAGTAACGTTACAATGAAGATTCAACACACACGATTGGGACAAATTCGTTTTCTTTGTTGAACTTTGCACTGTCTCATGAGTTGCTGCTTTGAGTAGGCTTGTCACTTAATCTCAATAAAATAAACACACTTCCTAGTTTAGTATCTAACCATATCTTGACCATGCTAGGTTTGTGTTCTGCCCCCTCTCAGCCACTTTTTAGATAGACACTTCAAATACCTTTCAAATCATCTAAGAAGAAATTTTAAAACTCAAATGAGAGTTTGAAAATAAAAGGTGTTTTATTTGCTGAGAACAATAGTAGCTTAGATTTGTGTTGACAGACATCAGTCATTGAGGTTTGGATTTCCCTTTAGTTTCTCAAGTTGACCCTTTAACAGATCTAGGACACTTTTTAGATAGGATCCTGGCTTTATTGCCAGCCCAACGTGCAGTCCACACCTGAAGAAATGGGAGTTTTCGATGCTGTGGTTTATTAACCAGGTACTTTCCATTCACTGTTAACAATTAGAAAACAGAAAGAAGACATTTTCAAGAAGTGAGGAGCCTCCTACTTGTTTTCTTTACTCCAAATAGGAAGACGGAAACAATTAAATAAGGAGGGAAACTCCCCTATAGTTCACCTTGACCTGACAGGATCGCTCTGAGGCCTGTAAGAGGCTGTGCTAAAAAGATCAACGAGAGCCACTATCGCCGGTATCAAACAGGAAAAGGTGCTCTTTCCCAAACCTAGATATTTGGCTTGTTCCTTCTGGTTAAGGAGGCATGATCTCTGACAAAACTTCCTTGATTTAGCAATGCTCTACCTTCACACAAAAGCCTGAATAGCAAGTCTGCACAAAGAGCCTCCCATCTATCACCTCTTTTAGCCTCTCACTTATTCCTTTGCTGCCATCTGTAACTTCCTGGTTCCCTTTACTGGGAAGGTGATGTTTAAGGTCAAATAATCCACTGTGAAATGTAACCAAAAGGCCAAACAGCTAAATGACCCTGGGAAAAAGCTAAGCAGTCCCTTTCAGGGCCGAGGGTCCACAAAAAGGAACTGTGAAACATCTCTGACACTAAGTAGGTCTTGTCTAATTCTCCAGGGGGTGGGGAGACCTGTCTAATTCTCCAGGGGGTGGGGAGACCCCTGACAGATTTGGGATCAGACACAAGGCGAGCTCTTAAGGCTGAGGGGAAGGTGGGCAGTGTACTTCAAGAGCAGAGTACTGGATGCGGGGAGGGCTCCTGAACTCCACTTTGTATGCAGCAGCTGCAGGCCAGTGAGTACTGCTGAACAAGGAAGTACGCAGTGCGAGGATGAAATGTTGGGGTTCACAGCTGCCATTCTGACTGAGCAAAGTCTCTCACTGCACCGTTATGCTAGCGTTGGGGTTCAAGAATTCAGGGCAATGAAGGAAAAGAGGACTCAGTGCGATTCCTGTTGCGCCCCTACGCACCAGGAATTCCTTAGAATGATGGGAATGGCAGTTATCAGATTCGAGGGGGAAAAAAAGCTGGAGTGAGCAAAACAAAGAGCGAGTGTGGGCCGCAGTGACTTCATGCCTCACCAATGTCCCGCCCACGCTACGGAGCTGGAGCTGTTGCTGCTGCTGCCCTGGGCCGCTGCGGCGCTTGCTGTCTACCAAAGCAAGGAACACTGTAGCGTGGGGGCGGTTTCCTAGCAACTCTCAGCTCTGAGCACACCCAGTCACCCGAATTCTTGGAGGCCCCCTCATGGGGGGACCCACAGAACTAGAGCACCCCATCCCTGCTCATAGTCTGCCTCGCCTCCCTCTCATTCTCAACGGGTACAGCCCAGAGAGCATCAGCTGTTCTGGGAGGCCAGACGCCTGAGCCGTCTCAGCCCAAAAGGACAAGGGTACACAACTCCCTCCGAGCAAGGCGAAGCGGAACCTTTCCTCCCAGCCGGGTAGGCAGTGGCTTGGTGCCTGCGGGCACAGACCGGGGCTTCTAGGGCACTCGCGGAGCCATTCCCCCAGCTGCTGGCACCCGAGCCTCCTCTCCCGCCAATCGGAACGCTGACGCCCTTGGCTTGCTGAGCCTAAGTGGAGTTGGCCTCCCTGCCCACCTGTGGAAGAAGCTCACACCAACAGATGCGCCAGCAACTCCCCCCACCCCCTTGGCCTTCTAGCCGTCCCCTCCCACTAATGCAGCATCACCCTGTGAATTACATTAGGGTGGTTTTCCCCCCAGCCTCGGGCTTTGTTTGGGTTTGATTGTGTTTGGCTCTTTGCTAAGCTGATTTATGCAGCAGAGCCCCATCCGCTGGAGAGAAACAAAAGGTCTTTTCTTTGTCCGGAGCCGACTGTGGAGACCTTACTCGCTTCGCCGCCTCGGGCCATCGGCTGTCCGAGGAGGCGCTTTTGGTTGAGACCCGCGGGGCCCGCTGTGCGGAGATGGGAGGGCCGCAGGGGCCCTGAGGTGCAGAGAGCTGCTCAGGCCCGCGGACCTGTACCGACTACTCAGCGCCCCTGGGTGGGTCAGACCGGCCTTCGGAAAAGGTTCTAGGGATTCTGGGCCCGCGGGCCCTAAGGTGCGCCCCCAAGTCGCGAGCGCGCGTCAGGAAGCGGCCAGGCAGCCGGCGCGGGGCGGGCTGCTTTGCATTATGTGCGGCTCGGCCCTTGCTTTTCTGACTGCTGCACTGCGCTGCCTGCACAACTGCCAGCGAGGTCCTGTCTTGGTTCTCCGGGCGGCCTGGCTGTTTTCACTTGTTATTGGACTGGACCAAAGCGGTAAGTTATTTTGCTTTGTTTTCTTCTCTTCTTCCAACGTCTTGGGCTGGCATTGAGAGCTTCTGGCCTGGACATCCCTGACAGGTAAGTGGCGGATGTTGGTTCTCCTCAGTCCTGAGTCTTAAGAAGGACAGGTGTGTGGCCCAGTCCTCCATAGACAAGCCAGGTGTCAAACATTGCCATCCTGGAGTGACAGCAATAGTCCATGGTTGGAAAAGTAGTTTTTGAGTTAAAATTTGGGAAAGAGACGGTTGTACTTAAAGAAGCCAATTTGGGGGTTCCAATATTTCCTGAGAATATCACTGTATAGACTGTGTTCCCCTTCTTTTCACTGGGGGCAGGAGGAAAATTCACTAATGACATTTGAATCAAGGCTGTGGCTAAGATGATTAATAATAAGATGGAATCTTCCTTGTATTGGTCTATGAAATAACAACAACATACAAGTTTCTTCTACCATAACCATTCAGCCTGGATGAATGAAATGCCCTTGAGAAGTATCTATTTATGCTTTAAGCCACTGGAAGGGGTGGGGTGGGAGAAGAACACTGTTTTTGATAATCTTTTGTGGCTAATTGATGCCTCCCTAAGTTCAGTCTTTGATACTGATTGGTCGCCTCTCTATAAACTTTACTGTAAAACTGCCTTCCTAAGTAACAAAGGATAGTTTTCATCAAATACCGCATCAGAAGGAGTTTGGGACTTCAGCTTGCTGGCCTTATAGTCTTAGTGAGCCATGAAACAAAATGAGCAATAATAACAATTACCAGTCTACAGGTCAAACAGTAACATAGAAGTCAAATATTTATTTTTAAAAATGGAGCCAACATTGCCATACTTTAAGTTTTCTTTTCACTTTTCTTGTCACTAATCCCTTAAATTTTACTAAAGACTACTACTACTGAAAACAGTTTTAATTAATAGGCACAATTCTGTTGTAAAACTAAATTTTATACCTGTACTTTGAATTGATGTGCTGGCATTCTGCCGGAAGTTAATTAAAGGTAAAGCTTATATGTAAAAGTTTATAATGGAAAAATTCAGATAACTTCTTTGAATATTGCATATATAGTTGAGCAACACTTGTTTTGGGTGAGATTTGCCTAGATATCTGAAACAGTGTTAGTTAGAGTCAATTTTTATCTTGTGGTTATTTTGAGAGTTATTGATTTCAAAATAAGTGAAACTTAATGCAAAGGAAAGAATCACACTCACTATCAAGTGTCCATTGAGTGGAACATGTGCTTGCCACAGCAGATTTTCCACTGATCACAATATCATCAGACGTCAGTTTACTAAAGTGTTCTCTAACTAGAGTTGGTAAACAGTCACACTAGCAAAATGACCGAAACTTGTGCCAACAGAATTTATTTTGTTCCAAAGAAAGTCTCACCTTTAACATTAGCTAATAATAGAGTTTTAAAAAGTTCATTGTACTTGTAAAGATAAATCAGGTTCCCATATAATAGCAAGATATTTCCATCCAGTGGCTATTATTGATCTGAAGCAAGTATTATGAATGGGCTGCCTTGCACCTGCTGATCTGAAAAGTGAATGCTAATTTGAAATCAAAACAAGGCATCCGTTTTCCCAGTCTCTGTCAATATACAAAGGCTTCTGATATATATTGACTTGCATAGTAGTTAAAAACATGAAAAAAATTTAAATTACAGTCAGTGCCTTTCAGCAAATTAGAGATCAGTATAAACATCTGTACTTTGTGATACATCTACAAGTCTTAAATTACAGGTCTCTACTGTACAAATTGAATGCTTAAAGCAGAATAGAAATTTAAGTATCAGTTACAAAAGAAATCTTTTCCCCATGTCCAGTAGTTTACACCAAAAAAATGTTGAGGGCAATAAAGTCATACTTAGAAGACTGAAAGCTACATAAGAAACACATCCATCACTTTGGCTTCAATTTTTAAAGTACAATTTATACAAATGCTTTAGACTTTTAGTATTGTGAGCAGAGGGAAGTGAGGGTGGCTGAATACAGTAGGTGGGGCATGTTATGAATGAGATACAAAAATTTCTTACTTAGGAAATATTATTCCAGTTTCTTTTATGTTTCCTCAAAGAAACTAATGAAAATTGAAGACAGAGTTATCAACCAACACTAAAAAACTGGTTACTAATGGTTTTTCGCTAGATACAAAAATTAGTTAATATTTGAATAGTTATCATAGCAACACTTTATTTCTATATTTGATGATTTTAAAAGATTAAAAATAATCTGTTACTCAATGACATAGCAATAGAAAGATGGCACACTTCAAAAGTCATAATTTCTTTATCAAGCAGTAACTATTATTGTAATGAGATTTGATCTTCTGTTTCTTGAGCTATCAAGTGCTTGTTCTTTTCCATTACAATCAACCAAAAGAATGAGCACGGCTTTGTGACAGCAGTGTGACTTTCCCCCAAACAGATTAATCATATCAAATATCCTAGGAATTTCCCCACCCCCAGGTTTGTGTGTGTGTGTGTGTGTATGTACATGCACAGATGCACAGCCATGTTTTTGCATGTGTGGAGTGCACATATGTGTGGGTATGAATGCATGTGGGCGCGCATGCATATGGAAGCCAGTTATTGATGTTGGAACCATCCTAAGTAGCTATCTTACCTTAGATATTGAAGCAGAACCTCTCAACCAAACCAAGAATTCACTGAAAACGCTAGTCTTGCTAGCCAGCTTGTTTCTGGGGATTTTGTCTCCGTCTTCTGAGATTGGAATTACAAACAGGTCAACATACCAACTAGACATTTGTATGTGGACTTCTCAGGACCTGAAAGCTTGCAGTGCAAGCTTGATAACCACTGATTCATCCCATTAGTCCCTAAAATTCTTTAACTAATTTGGAGCAAAAAACTATTTATGGGAACCATGGCTTCATTTGGAAAAAGTCCAGTCTTTTATCTCACTTCCATAAAATGTGTTCATATTAATTCTATCTTTAGGCAACAGAGATACTTTGGGGTCTATTTAAAAGTCATCTATGATTATCTTATGTGTGAAAACAAGTAGCTGATAGGATTTCAAAATTTTCCCTTATGTTGAAAGAGTTGTCATGCTTGTTTTCTCCAAAGCCTCCTCTCATCATATTGAGCCTTTGTGGGAAGGCTGTATTCATCATGTTGTGGCTCTGCTAAACTAAGATCTGGGAGCTGCCCAGGGTTGTTGGAGGTTGTTTGTTTGTTCCTGGTCACTCAGACCTGAAATAATCACACAGAAACTATATTATTTGCAATACTGTTTGGCCAATAGCTTATCCACATTTTTAGCTAGCTCTTATATCATAAATTAACCCATCTCCATTATGTGTATATCACCACAAGGTTGTAGTCTACCAGCAAAATTTTAGGAAGCTAGTATTCAGCAGACTTTTGCATGAAGCAGGAAATTTGAAGATCTGTTCTGTCTTGTAAAGGCAAAGTCCGTCAGATGCTTCCTTCTGTGTCCTGCAGAATGTCTGGCAGACTCTTTCATGAAGCAGGAACCCTGAAGGATCATCTAACTTTTAGGCAAGTTCAGCAGTCATTTTTCTGTGGGTCCTGCATGTCCAGTTAATACAGCATAACTTCAAGAAGTCCAGGCAGGAGCAGTGTCTTGCCCAATTGTCTAGCACACTCCCTAAGGAGATTGGTGCTGCCAGGAACAGATGTGTCTTTGTCATGAAAAGTCCTAAGTTCTTAAAACATTTTAAATGCTATATTCTGAAGGTATTTGAAAGGTTTGAAGAATAATTATCCATCTGAAATATATCTCTATACATTTAGAAAGCCTAACTAACATACTAGAAGCTTGACTATTAGAGATGACTATCTATTAACCTATATTTCTTAATTATTTTTTTTTTGCAGAAACTATTAATTACAACACTGTTTGGCCAATGACTCTAGTGTATTCCTAGCAAGTTCTTACACCTTAAATTAACCCACTTCTATTATTTTATATTTTACCATGAGGCTTCTGGTTTACCAGCAAGGTTCTGGTGCATCTGTCTCCTGTGGTGGCTACATGGCATATCCCTGACTCTGTCTACTCTCCCTATATATATCTTTTCCAGCCTGGCTATATTCTGTTAAGCCTTTGGCCAAAAGCAGCTTTATTCATTAACCAATAAAAGAAACACATATACAGAAGGATTTCCCACAGCAGTTCAGTTGTCAAATCTGATATCTAACCCTGCTAGGCCTATCATCAATTAAGAAGGTGATGCTGTCCACCCACAAGTTGGCTTTTTAGACCTATGATCTCCTGGCTTAATCTCATTCCTCAATCTCTAATTTTGATTCTTACTTATTCTAAGACCTTCAAAGTAGTAGTGGCTCCAGAATTCTGTCCTCATTTTGCTTAACAATACAGGGATCCCAAGTGAATTGATTCAGCTCTGGTATTTTATATTATGTTTCTATGATGACACCATCCAGATGTCTATTTCCAGTCTTGACTTCTTATTGGATCTCTGGAGGAGACAGCAACAACATCCAATTTGTCTAAAGACAAATTGATTCTTACATATTCAAAAAAAGAATACCTAATTTTCTCCAAACTTGTTCTTTTCATGTTCTCTTAATTCAGTCAGTGGTGAGCCAGATTCTTGGGAGTTCAGACTAACACTTAGTAGCATCCTTGATTGTCTATTTTTGTAATGGACTTTAACATTACAAGACAGAACAGATCTTTGCCCAGTCCATTACAAACTCTATTGCATCACTATGGTTTATACAACCTTTCCTTGTCTCACACATGGGGAGTCTAGCACATCTTTTCCTCTTCACATGCATTATACCTCTGTTGCATAGACACATGTCAGTCAGCTCCTGTCACTCATCATATGCAACTCTACATAGATTTTATCTGTCTTGAATTAAAGGCCAGGTTTTAGTTTTCGACTCTATAAGAACTGACCATCTATCTGTTCTTCTCAGATTTGATTCAAGAAACACTGATTCTTACTGTTTGTGGAGGCACAAAGCATGGTTCTATTC